GGGACCAGTGACCTGACAGCACTGGAACAGGCCAATATTCCCAGGTGAGGGATGCCCTTCCCTCCATCCCTGCGCCCAGATGTTTCCCTGTAGTGTGGTTCTCCCAAACCATACCTTGCATGGCTATGGTCAATATCTAGGCGATATCTTTGCCTGGGATACAGTGGTGCCACAGCGGTGGGGCTGGGCACCAGTGTGGTGCCACCATCAGGGACTTGCCCAGGAGGGAGAGCCAGCATGACCTGGCCCCCTTGGAATGAGCATCAGTGGTGTCCCAAGTGCTTTTGGCAGGCAAACAGTGGCTGTGGGAGTGCTTGGGACCCAAAGGGTCTCGCAGTTGAATGGACCTGTGTTTCTGGGGGAAGTCTCTCCTTTCTTGGGACAGCTGGGGCTGAGTGCCTCCACTGGGGAGGAGGAGGAGGAGGCTGATCCTTCAGCCTGGACCAACTTCCTTCCCTCCTGCACCGTTCTCTCCACGCTTGGGATCAGCCCGCCCTCTCCCTGCCGGCGTTATGTCACGAAGCCGAGACACGGCCAAGTTTCTTGCTGCCATTGCCCATAGCCCTCTTCTTTCCATGCTAAGGTTTTCCCAGCACCAGTCATCACGTCTGGCTGTCTGCAGCCTCCCCAGCCACCCAGCTGCTGAGGGGGAACTCCCTTGTCTCTGCTTGGGAAGCCAGCTCTAGAGGAGACCACATCTCTGTGGGGGTCCTTATTTTCTTGCTTGTGTCTCTTTGTCCTTTTTCAAGGGCAGAGCCATCCCTTGCTCCCCTGCAGTGCCCTCTGCACTCCGTGCTCCTCCACCCCATTGTGTGCATGCACTGCTTTTCCCCTGGTCTCCTCCCCGCTGCTGCCATCTTACCTGCCTGTCTCCTCGTGCTGTGCATGCACGTCCTCCTCCATCATGCAGCCCTTCAGCTCCTCCCCATTACTCAGAAACATCTTTGCATACATGGGCTTCTCAGCCATGGCCTCATTTCTGGGGTCCTTCCAGGATACCCCTCTCTAACTTGCAGTTGTACCTATCTCCCACTTGTTTCTTAGTAAACTGCCCTCAAAGTGCCGCTTTTCATGGCTCTTGGCACTTTTGGAGCCCAGAAGAAACCCCCATGGCTTAGCTCAGCCCAATGGGACAGTGAGCAGTGGCCAGCTCCCTAGCTGGCATGGGGACGGTGAGCCCTGGGGGAGGTGGCTGAGGGATGAAGGATGCTCTCTCTCTCCATCGGTGTTGGAGAGGTCCCAGCTGTTCCCCCTGGTTTGTCTGAGGTTGGGCTCTGCTGCAGCCAACCCTCAGCTCCTGCCTGGCTTTCACATGCAGCCAGGGATGGGCAAACCTCACCCAGGGGCGTTTAGCTGGCCTTTCACCACAGCCAGACTGATGAATTGCTGTCTCCATGTCTGTCTCCCTGGAGAGAACCTCTCACCACTCCAGCAGGTTGCAAGGTGCCAGCAAATGCTAAGCCTGTTGTTGTTGCTCCTGCTTTTCTCCTCTGCTGCCCATTCCCACAGTAACCACAGGGCTTGAGGGGCTGGCACTTGGCAGCTCAGCAGCTTGGTGAGCAGGGGGTGAGGGCTGGGTTGCGTTGGGGTTTTCCCAGCAGAGCTATCAGAGGGAGCTGGAGGAGAATCTGTATTTATGACTGATCTATTACGGGGCAGCAGTATTTTTTAGCTTACCCTGGACCTGTCTAGGCTCAGATCCTACAGCTGATGGTTTAATGCTCAGGGGATTGTGCCTTGATATTGCTTTTTCTCTCTTCTCCCCTTCATCCCTCTGATGTCTCTGGACATGTTACCAGACCCATGAATGAGTGAATCAGACCTGCTGCCCTCCTCCCTTCTGTCAACCCAGAGGAGCCCAGAGCTCTTATATCAGTTCTGTGCTGTAGGAAAATAGGGATCAATAACCCAGTTCCCAGCCCTGGATCCAGGCACATGGTAGGAAACAGTGCTTATGATTTTAACCTCTCTCCAAAGGTGATTTTCACAGCCTGTGATGCAGAGAAGAGATGCCCGGCAGAGCTGTGTCCTGCCTCAGCTCCCATCTGTGCTTGCTGCAGAGCCTCTGCTGTGAAGACACGTTCTCTCAGTGCAACAGCAAGTAGAAATGGGCTCATTTTTCACCCCTTTAAAAGCAAAAATCACATGTTATTTTTCCTACATGTCAGCTAAACCAAGATTTAATTGCTACTCTCAGCATAGAGGTTGCTGTGCTCTCCTCCTGCCACCGCCCCCATCTTCAGTGATGTGCTAAGGTTATCAATAATTAAAAGTCAGGATCTCACCTGTTGCTGTATTTTGCAGTTTGTATTCACGACTGATCAGGGTCTGTCTCAGGCCATGGAGCTGCATGGCCCATGGCTGAGCAGCCGTTGGGGTAAGGGATGGTGTGAGAATCCTCCTGGGAGTGCAGGTGTGCGTGGCAGAGATGAGAAACCAGCACAGGGCACAAACTTAGCATATATATCAAAGTTTTAATTTGTTCTCAGGAGGAAGATTACACAGAACCCTCCTTACATGACATCAGATGTTTTACAGAATGTAGTATCAAAAAAGAAATATATATATATATATATAAAAATACCTTTCAGTTACAGGACATAACCAAGAGTACAGTTCTTAGTGTGTCTGGTAGTTTGACCTTCCTTAGGCCTTCAGCTCCTCCACACGCTCTACAAGTGGCTTTTTGGACAATAGCAAAATGGCAGAGTGGCTCATTCACTGTTGACTCCTTCCTCACATGGCAAAACCAGAGGAGGAGAGGACCAAAGGAGGCTAGACGCATGCAGAAGGGACAGCAGGCAATTTTTGCATGTTGCTTACAGCTACAGGAGGGCTTTGCTGGCAAGTGAAGGAGATACGTCCCTGCTGAAGGAAGGGAAGCGCACCTGACCTTGTTCCTTAGTGGGGCTTAGGAAGGAGGCTGATACAAATACTTCTGATGTTCTAGGTGAGTTGGGGGTCAGCCTAGAATGACTTGGACACCTGCAACAGGCCAGAAGAGCCATGAAGAAACACTGAAAACTATCAATAACCTGTAAATGAGCCCAAGCAGTGGCCTTAAAAGCAGTTAAAATGAACTAGGTTCTTGCAAGAATGAATGCGCTGCCATGCAGATCTACCCAGGGCCCTAGAGAGGAGGTGAAACCCCAAGGGAGGGCATTTAATCTGAAATAATTCTGATGAAAATAGGCATTGCTTTGGTACAGCAGATGTGATACTGTCTCATGTGTTGGAAAACTTCCCTTGGGAGGTCTGTTGTGGCTGGAAACGGTTTCAAAAGCTAGTCTGGAGGGAGAACTTGAGGGAGCTTAAGGTGATGGAGGGTCAGAGAAGTTTTGATGACTGAAGGTGAGAGTGACATGGAGTCTAAACCCTTCTCCCTGTCCTTGTGTCCTCTGTGAGGCACTCATCCCATGTGGCTGGGTAAGGGTAGTCCTTTTGGGCTGATATGGTGCTGACTTGGCAGCCATTGGCTTTCCAGCCATGGCTGAAGTTCAGGGCTAATGTGAATGTGCTCTCACATCCCCAGGGCTAGGTGGATGTCACCTAAGATGCCATCAGATACAGACGTTTGTTTGCAAACAAAAATAATAGCAAACCCCCAGGACTCTCTCACTACACCTTGCACAGAAAAGGTGTTCCACAGCATGGGGTGTCTGCGAGGTCTGGGCCTGCCCAGCTGGGTTTCCTGCACTGTTTGTAGGCTCTGTAGCTCCTGCAGTTGCATCATCTGATGGGAAGATCTGTCTGGAGAGCCCCAGGGGTGGGGACAATTCTCTATTCACTGCCCAAAGGCTTTTGGCAGGGAAATGCTGTCTCCACCACTGTGCCTTTGTCCTGGCTTGGAGGGAGGCTCCCCAGGGGTGTGGGTGAGGTTTGTAGACGGGCAGCTCAAGCAGAGGATGCTGGCTGAGATCTCGCCCTTCGCTCCCTTCCCCCAGCTCCCAAGCAAAGGTTTCCTAAGAGGGCCGCGAAGGGCTGCGGGGCCAAGCGAAAGAAGCGAGGCGGAGGCCGGCGGGGGCCTGGCGTGCACCGAGCGTCGCGGCCGCCGCTTTCGAAAGACCAGAGGCTGCAGCACCCTGGGAAGGGAGCTGCGGCAGCGGGCGGCTTAGTCACTCATCTCTCCAGCTCTGCCTCCAGAAATGTCCACCGCTCTGAGGAGCCCGTCTTCTTCTCCACCCAGTCCACGTAGTTGGAGACTTTGGTGTACACGCCGTACACCTGCTTGCTGCCACACTCCTCCGGGCCGCCCCAGGAGACCAGGCCTTGGGCCACCCACCTCCGGGTTCCTGGGTCCTGAATGACGAAGGCTCCTCCGCTGTCTCCCAGGCAAGTGTCCTTCCCGCCTTCGTAGTAGCCGGCGCAGAACATGTTCTCGGTCACGCTGTAGTTCCCCGACCGCGACTCGTAGCTGGTCTTGCACTCTGCGTGCAGCACCACCGGCAGCTTGACGTACTGCAGGATGTCGGACAGCGTCCTCATGCCCGAGCTGATGATCTCATCCACTGTGATGTTGGGGTTGGAGATACCCCAGCCAGCCACCAGCCCCAGTGTGTTGGGGTGAGGCCCCTCCAGCTCGTGCTCAAACTGGGGCAGGCAGACAGGCATGACGTACTTCCCCATGGTCACCTTCTCCTTCAGCTTGACCAGAGCGATGTCGTGGTTATAGTTCTGGATGTCAAACTCCTCGTGGAGGATGATCCTCTCCACTGTCCGGTTGACGGCCTCCATCTTGTTCCTCACATCATGAAGGGCCAGGTAGACGGTGACGTGCTCCTTGGAGACAGGGATGACGGTCTTGTCCCTCCGCTGGGAGCGGAGCACGTGGGCGGCCGTCAGCACCCAGGAGTCTGAGAGCAGGGCCCCGCTGCCAAACCACTTGTCATTGGGCACCCGGGACATGTCCTCCACCACAATCAGGGCCTGCCAGGGGAAGAACCCGGGCTCTGCGTTTCGCCCCCCAATGATGCGCTTAATGATCCCAGGCAGAGGACGAGCCGGCCGGCCACACACTGGGGACAAAAAGGACAGGACAGTTACCCCCAGCACTTATCTAGGGAAAAAATGAAAAGGGACATCCTTCTAGATTATGCCACATGGCTGGTTATCTTCAAACAAAACACTCATGTTTGGGTTTTTTTCCACAGAGGGCAACTCTTTGCCTTTTCTCAGTGAATGAAGCCCATCCTCCCTGTCATCTTCACCTTCTGGCAGAGTGTGCTTCAGAGCTTGGAGCAGGCTGGGTATTACACCCCATCCCCTACACTAACAAGTTTTTGAAGGTAGGTCTGAGAAAGGAGCGCATCTACCCTTCTGAAGGGTTTTGTTTCCTAAAAGCTCCTTTCATGTCTTCCCTGCAGGGTGGAACCATTTCTAGTGGCAGCTGTTTGCCCTTCTGGAAAAGGGACAATCTATTGCTCTTCCATGAGGAAGGTGGGGTGACCTTTGTTCAGCCCTTGTGAAGCTAGTCACAAAGAGGCCAGCCTGAAGCCTACATGACTTGTCTAGTTTCTTCTGTGAAGCAGGAACCACCCTATGTTTCTCTAAGCCTGAGGGTTAAACATGAAACCAGGAGACCTCAGTGCTAGTGCTGCCTCTGTCTCCAGCCTGCTAAGTGACTTTGGGCTCTCCTCCTCTCTCTGGTGTTTGAGCTATTTCAGCAGTACTTGTGGAGCATAGAGCAAGTTTCTTTGCTCATAGCCACAGAACAATTTGGTCCAGCTCTCCAAGAGTTATGAACAGCCATACCAAGCCCTCTGGATGTCCCAAACTTGCTGTGGCTGTGAACAGTGAGGCAGTGATTAGAGAAGTGTCTTGTCTATGGATTGGTAGAACCTGTTGGTTTTCAGGATGTGGGCTCCTTTTGCCCAAGTGCCCATTGAAACCCCAGTCCTGGCATCTGCTCTGCTGACAGAGAGAGAACTGAAACCAAATTGAGTCACTAGACCCCATGCTGGACTAGGGAAGGAAGCATCTTCAGAGCTGGGAGCTCCCTGCTCCTGTGGTCCTGGGTCTGCAGGGGTCCATCCTGGGTTTAACCATGGGCAATCAAGGCCCATTTAGCCCCTAAAGTTGCTCAGAAAAAGTAGTCTCTGAGATACCTTCTCCTTCCTCATCATTGCTATAGACTGTGTAAGGAGGATGTGAATGTCCTTGGCCAGGAGACCATAGACTTTCTAGGCAGACTTCTGGCTACCACCCTAGGTGGTAAAAAGGCTCAAAAGGCCTTGGGAAGGGTCAAGATCTTGGCATGTGTCAGGGCAGGGCTGCAGCACATGAGGCCCTATCATGAAGGGAGGCAGAGAGCCTCTGTAGGAAAAGGATGGGCTTGTGCCAAGGTCCCATGTGCTGGACCTCTATTCCAGAGAGGCTGAAGGATTTACCCTGCAAATAGCAGGCTCATTTGATGTAAAGGGGGAGCTGTTGCCCACTGGGCATGAGTATGGGCAGTCAGAATTGTGTGTAGCACACTACTGGGCTGTGGAGGCTTTCATCTCGGCTCAGCTAACCCAAAGCTGTACCACATCTCCTGACGCTGATGTCAGGCACAGATTCAGCAAAACATATGAACCAGGGTGGGACTTCAAGCACTCTAAGTAGTAGCAGACCTTAGTATTGGTTTATACCTGTGTGATCTGTGCTCCAGATAGGCACCATGGTGCTACCAGATTCCTTAGGGAAGGGCAAGTGGAAGGATCCTTCTATATCAAAGACCTGACAGATGCTATGATTTCTGCCAAGCCTGGATTACAGTAAAACAGGGCTGTGGCTTAAAAGGTTATTGTACAGCTGAGCTGGTAGTTGGGACAAGGAGATAGCTTGAGGGCCAGCCTGCACTTTGCAATTCCTCACTTTGCAGCTCAGTTTCTGGAGTGATTTGGCTGGATCCACACCACTTCAGAAGCAGAAAGGCCAAATGAGTAATACTGCAGCCTCACCGTGCCCTGTGAGCTCTTAGCCCTTCTGAGACCATCCAGACCCTTGCCTGGCTCCGGCTCAGTGTGCCAAAAAACCCAGGGGAATGTCAGTGGGAGGACTAGAGCCTGACATCAGCCCAGCCTCACCTTTTGCTCTGAGATCTGTCACGAGGTCTGTGGTCTCACAGCCATTTGCCCTCCCGGAGGAGCTGTGGCTGAAGAAGGCTCAGCCATGGGAGGTTGCCTAGCACCATGGTCTTTACTCCTGCATCTCGAGTCCTCATGACAATGAGGCTTTGACCCCCTGGGGCGATGGGATGGGGGCTGAGAGGCAGCCTGGCAACCAGGGCAGGAGCACCAGGAGCTGCTAAAGTGGATTTGTTGTGTCTGGGGTCTGCCATGAGATCAAAGGGTGACTGAGGCAGGGAGAGATGGTGGGGAGTGTGTCTGGGCATGTTCTGCTCCCCTGCCTTTCCCCAAGCTGCAAGGAGCAGACAATGTGCTCAGGAAAATAGTCCTTGTGCTTGCCTGCCGCTCCAGAGCCGATGGCCATCCTGGGAAGATGGTTTCAGAGGCAGCCTGTCCAGCCAAACAGTTATTCTATTAAATTACATATCAAAAATGCTGACCAGGCTGCAAAAGCTCCCACTAATGACAGAGGCAGGCGCAGAGTGGCGTAGAAATGGAGTTTTTATTGATGGGGAGATAGCGTGAGACATGGTGGAAGATCTGAAGAGCAGCTGGCCAGCTGCCGCCTGCAGATCCCAATCTCAGGAGAGCCTCACACTCTCTCTGGGATTTTCCATTCTCCTGAAGTCTTTCTGACTTCTGTCACTAATCAGAAGGCCTGGAAATGGCCCATAAAAGCAGCTATGGCCCCCAAAATGTCCCCATATGCTCCCAGCTTAAATTAGTTCAGGCTGAAACATCAAGGAGGGATGCAGGAAGCAGTCACTGCAACAAGATCAACCATAGCCCTGGTCTCCGTGGGATGCAGGCAACCTCAGGAAGTCTCTCCTCCAGCTTTGCAGTTGCTCAGCGTGGCTGGAGAGCAGATACCTTCCATGGGGCTGAGCCAACTCCTGAAGCCCGGGATGGCTGCAGCTGCACGGCAGCCAGATCCCTGCACCTCTCTGGAGAGCAGTCCCTGCACATCTGACCACAGCTTGCACCCAGGGCTGCCTCCAGACTCCCTGCCTGGCAGCCAGGCCTGGCCCCGCACTTGGCTATGGCCAGTCAACTTTCCAGGGACTTTTGTTTAATCCCAAGTGGGCACCTGGCCTGGAAACTTGCTGGCTGCAAACATTTCTGCCACTGCTTAACGGCTGTGACTTTTCCTTCCGTGCAAAGTGGCCAGGTTTTTCTGCAAGGCTTGGAGAGGCGCTAAGTGCTCCTGCATGTGGACACGCTGCTAATGGGAGCGGACAGCTAGTGGTGCTCGGCAGGCAGTGCTTTGCTCTTGGCTGGAAACATCTCTGGTGATGCTGGGGGCTGAGCGTGGTCAGTGGGCTCTGCCCTGGGGCTGCTCCTTTGCTCATCTGCTGGAGCATGGGGCTTAGGGAGCCCTGACAGCTGGGATGGCTGTCACCCCACTGCTGCCCTATACTGCCAGGGAGACTTGCCCTCATCACTTCTGCCCAGAGCCACCACTGCACGCTCACCATCTGGGCCAGCTGGGACAGCAGGAGGCCTCTGTCCCTACCACCCTCCTGGCCATGCTTTGCAGCAGCTGGATTTGTATAGCCAAGGCATATGGCATTGTCACCAGGGAGCTGGGTCCCTGCCTTGCGGAGCAGCAGGTCAGGTCAGGCATGGAGGCATCCTCCCCCAGCATGTCCCCTCTTGCTGTGGGAACCAGCCACCCCAGCAGTAGTACCTGGTCGGCAGGACGGCAGCTTGGTCCCCAGCTCCTCGCTCCTCCATGCTCCCGAAGCGTCGCACGTGTAGGTGGCTGGAAGAGAGCAGAGCATTAGCTGGGCTGCGGGCCTGGCATGAGGGGTGTCTTTTGCAGCAAGGAGATATTGCCCAGCTGTCTGGACCTTTCAAACCTTGCCCAGAGCAAGAGGTGACCTCTATGTTGCGCTCTCTGTGCTGCACTCGCTGGAGGGCCCTGGCAGCCCTGTCCCCAGGCAGGGGACATGCCACCATCCTCAGTTTCATTGCCTCGAGTTTTCTGGAGGGCTGTGCTGCACGCTCAGCCTGGGCTGGCAGCTGCTGCCCCAGTAATGCTGCCAGTGCCCATTCCGCTCAGGATGCTGGGACCAGATGCACAGGGCCAGCGGGTGTGCAGGGGGATATGAGCAGGGAGAAGGAATGCAAGGAAATCCCTTGGCTTTGCTTGCTGAGGGAGGAGGAGGCAGAAGGACTGGTGTGTGTGCACAGCCCTTCTGCTGCCTAGAGCTGGGTCCAAAGGCTGCAGAGACCTGTGGTGCTCGGCAAAGCACCTTGTGGTGTCTCTGTGGTTGTGGACCAGGAGGATAGGGGGGAAACTCTGTCATGATCCCACTGCTATTGGTTCAGCTTTAACTACGCTGGACATTTGGATGCTAGAACAGGGAGCCCTGTAGAGCTCTTTTCTGAGGCTGCTGGACCTGGTGCTCTCTCCAGCAGCAGCTCCTGTCACAGAAACACAGAAACGTTCCTGTGCTGCAGGGAGCAGATGGCGGGGCAAGACACCCACACTGCTCTGCCGAGGCTGTGAATCACCCAGGCAAAGCCCTGGGCAGGGCTAACTCCATCCGACCTCACCATGGAGCCAGCTCCAGCCAGTCTGACAACCCAGCCAGTGCAGACACACGGCACGATGTGTGCAGGCTACATCCACAGCCTGCTGCTTGCAGAGCACCCCGGGGTGTCCATCCCAGCTACCCCTGCTTGCAAAGCCCCTCGGGCCATGTGCCAACCTGCATCGTGCTGTGGGGACACGGCCCGGCCCCTCTGCTCACCGGTGCTGTTGGGGGCCATGTGGTAGTAGGGATGCTGGCAGTGGAACTGGATGGCTGCTCGGTAGGTGGTCAGGTTGTCCCTGGAGGAGAAGGTGACAAAGCCATGCTCCAGCTCCGGCGGCGCCTTGCAGTCTGCAACTGAAAGCCAACACAGAAGGGGGGGGGAGGAGTGAGCCCTGTGCTGTTTCTTGGGGTGCCCAGCCAGCCTGTGGGCTGGTGACCCTGGGCTTTGGCATGTGATGGTGGTCCTATGGGGGAGAGTGAGGGCCCGTATAGTCCTGTATCCCCTTTCTCTAGAGCACCGCAGGGAGCACAGCCTGATGTGGCCTCAGGTGGAAGCAGGAGGCTGGTGCCAGGAGGGGCAGGCTCGGCACGAAAAGCAACACACG